AGCCTTTCCCAATTTCCTTTTTCTCTGCAAAATAAGGGTCCTCTCTGGACTTCCCTGTGCCTTTCCGTAGTTTGCTTGTCCCAAATTGTAATTCTTTGCTGTTCCCAAATAAAGTCATTTTTACTGGTAAAATAACTGGTTGCTTATTTTAAGGTCAGCAAACAAGAATGCTTGAATGAAGTCATTCAGATCTTGTTCAGGGCTCTTCCTGGCTTCCTGCCCTGCCCTCCTTAGTTGCAGACTTCTTTCTTCATGGTTGCAAGATGGCTGCTTTACCTCCAGACATCACATGCATTTTTCTGACAAAAAAAGGAGGAGGAGGAAGAAGAGGGAGAAGAGAAGGGAGAGGGAGGAGGGGGAGAAGGAAGAGAAGGAGGAAGACAGAGGAGAAGAGAGCAAAGGGACAAGTCCCACAGTGTTGCGTCTTTCTTAAAATTCTTACTCAGGATAATTCTGTTCTCATCTTCTTGGCTACCGCTGGGTCATGTGGGCATCCCTAGTGGCAAAGGAGTCTGGGGAATAAGTACTTTAAATTGAGCCCAGTGCAGGTCAGTTAGGACAAAGTTCTGATAAGGGGCAAGATGAGTGTGGGTCTGGTCTAGGGAACCAGCGGTGTCTGCCGTCCTACCTAGTGCCTGCAGCTCCACGTGTGAGGGAAGTCCTGCTTTTCAACCCCCACGTCAGTGTCACGGTTCCCTGCTCCTCCTCGGTACGCAGTCTGGTCAAGAGCCGGTGAGGCTCACTACCCATCTCTCCTCTGCCTGTGGCCTCAACAGCACCAGGCACTTCATCCTTCCATCTTGGAAAGACAGAACAAAACAATCGCATTTCACAGGGATGGCTGGGGCCCAGCATACCAGCACCCAGGGAGCCCGTTCTGAAGACCCTTTGGCTAGGCTGAGAGGTCGCTGAGAGAGCAAGGAAGGAAGTGTTCCAGATGAGTCTGCAGAGGCTGGCCAAGGCGAGATCATGCAGGGTCCTGTGGGCTGCAGCTCACTCAAATTCAGCTGGTTATAAGTGGGCCACCAGCCAAGACACTGGGGTCTATAAAGGGACTAAGAGGCCAGGCCGTCCTCAGGGAGCTCCATTCTGTTCATGCAGCACAGACTTGCAATTAGGTAGAGTAAAATTCAGACCATAGTAAGTATAATTATAGATGTAGAGATGCAGTTCTGTCCATGAGGGCCTGGACAGGATTGCTTTAACTTCAATAAGGTGATATTTGCATTTAGCTTTGCAGGGCAGATAGGATTTTCCTAAACACAGATGGAAGGGAGAGGATGTTTTCAGTAGAGAAACTCTATGAGCAAAGATTTGGGGGCGGGAAGGCAGGCAGTGGATTTAGATAATTGTGAGTGGCCCTCTTGGGCTGGGGGACAGCATTTGCAAGGACTGGGGTGACAAGGGTGATGGGATGGGGAAGGCAGGGTGGACAGTGGGTCAGGAGATGAAGCAGGAAAGGTAGGCGGGTGTTGGGTTATGAAGACTGAATGTCATGTTAGGAAGTCAGACTCTACCTCGTGGAAAATAGGGAGCCATTGAAGGTTTGAACTGCATCTGTGTGGTGGAAAATAACTAGCAAGTAAGAGTTGGTAGCCTGGGGAGACTGAGGCAGACTCTCCAGCAGGACGCTGGTCCCACAGCGGCCTGACCTTGACCAGAGAAGTGCTGGGAGAGTGTGAGCAAGTCACGTTTTCCCATGAGAGAGTAACTGGGCTGAGCAATGCCATTTGGATTCAAGGAAGCCTTGGGAGGGGAAGCAGCTTTGTGGGGCTCCAATGATGGATTCTGCATGAGCAGTGCTGGGTCCCTGGGGATTAGTCATGTGGGTGTCTGGGGTGAGGGCCAGGTTGGGGTCATCAGCCCTTCGTGGGTGTCAGAACACAGCTGTGGGTTGGATTGCCCAGGAACTATGTAAAGTGACGGGGGCCCCCCCCCGCACAAGCTACTTGGGGGAGGAGCTGGAGGAGCTGAGAAAGAAAGGTCAGGGAGGGAGGAAGCGGTGAGGATCAAGGGGCCGTCTGGAAGGCAGCAGTGCTCTTTCAGCTAAGGAGATAGGGAAGAGTTCTGTCCCCGGGCTTGGGGCCTTTGCATCTGGCTTGGGGCGGGATGGGGTGGGGAGAACGACACTCAAACCCGTACAGAGCCCAGTGAGTGTGAAGGGATCCAAAGTAGCACTGGTGGGCAGGATCTGCTCCGGTCCTGCAGTCTGCACCCCAGGGTGAACACATCCCAGAAGCCCCCGTGTCCACCCAGGAGGGGCAGAGGTCTCCCTCCAAGACTCCTGGGCTCGCCCCTTTCATTTCCCTGCAGGGCCTCAGCTTCCTGTGTGTGGCTGTGCCAGGTACAAAGGGATGGGGACAAGTGCATCTGGATGGGGCTTTAGCCTCACACTGTGAGAGACTCAGCTCAGCACAAGCCTTAAAGCACAGGGCAGTCCCTTCTGCTCCCAATGGTCACACTGTCCTCCCAAGCCCTACGTCTTTCCATGGGGCTAATTTGGGGGGTAGGATGGGGAAGTATCTAGAAATGGTTTCTGTCCTTTCTTGCCCTCCTCCTGCCATGGCTGGGCCCTGTGCCCCAGCTCTCTCTTTGCACCTTGAGAAGGAGAGGTCTCTTCCCTTGGGATCCAGGCCCATTTCTCACCTTCACATTGGCCGTGCTCTTCTCCATCTGGCCTCCGCCTACATCCTGAGCTAGACACTCCCCAATTCCTGATCAGTGGCTTCCCATTGTCCTGAGGACTAAAGCTGGGCTCACCCAGGAGCTACCAGGCCTACCTGGTCTGGCACCTGCATTGCCTTCCAGCCTGTTGCCTCTGCTTGAGAGCCACAGGGGCTCCTTCCACACCACGGCTCCTTCTGCCTCAGGGCCTTTGCATGTGATGCTTCGGTTCCTGTGTGATAATCGTTTCCCAGTCCTACCTGTCTCTCCAATACCTGGCTCCTTTCCCTCAGCTTCCTATACCTTCTGACCCTTCAGCTCACTTCTCAAATGCACATCCTCAGGGCTCTGAGCCATGTTTTCACTACACATGTATTTGTGTGACTATTAGACACATACCCGTCTTGCCCATTAGCTATAAAGGACCATCCCTTTCCTTTCACTGTTGTGTCCTGGAACTTGGCCCAGGGCTCAGTGCAGAGCAGCGTCTCACATCCAGAAATGTGTTGAAAGAAAGGAGCAGCTGGTGACCTTAGTTTACCCATGCACATATTTCATAGGGGTAGATGGGAGGGAGAGACAATACTCTTCTGAGGACAGGCTATGTGTGATGTCATAGCTGTCACCCCAAACTCTGGATGGATTCTGAAGAAGCTGCATTTGAGAGGCGAGCCTTGGCCCTGCCTCATATGACCGCAGCTCTTGTCATCCTTCTGTGGCCTTCTGCTGGTCAACAGTGTCAGGCAGGGGCACCTAGGACGTGATTTGGCCAAAGCTGAAGGCTTCTGGGAGGGATTCATCTACTTGCTCAAGGACACGGGCCTAGCAAGTGGTGTGGTTTCATCTCTGTCACAGAGCAAACGAAGAACAAATGTGGTCAATTTCTCATTTGTAGAGCAAAAGACAGGGACAGGAAAGTTATTCGGTCTGTGTAAAGTCACAGATTGTCAAGATTGGAGCCAGGCTTTGATGAAAGAGATTTTGCTTCCAGAGACACAAAGGGGACTTGGGGACTGGGCCAGAGCAGAGTCCATTGGCCAACATCCTGTGCTCGGGGGGTCAGAGCTGTCTTCCTGAGGGTTGCCCTGAGAGGAACTGCCCCACTTTTCCTCAGTGGCCATTTACAGCTTCAAAAATCTGTGCAAAGCCTTCTTGAATTCAGGTCCATTTCCTGTGTTGGGTTTTGAGACCTGACCATTTCTTAAAATAATAAAATCATTTAGGGTCAGAGTTGGAAGGGGCCTCCGAATAATCTAGTGGGTCTCCTTTATTTCATTAATAAGGAAGCTGAGGCCCAGGGCTGGGGTGCAGGAGGCAGGGCTGGGCCTCTTCCTGGCAGTACCCAACCTCCCAGCGTTTAAGGATTGGTAAGGAAGCCCCGCGGCCCTGCCCAGCCTCGGACAATTACAGCCTCTCAGGAACCACCCTTCACCCTGTCTGCCCCCATCTTGGCTCAGGCCGGGCATTCTCAGGGGGACAGCAGGCTTCCTGGCTGCCAGCTGAGTGGCCCTGCAGCCCCGCTCCTCATCATGACAGCCAGTTTACTGAGCACTCACCCCCGGGAGGTCCTTGTTCTCACAGCCATTTCCACGTGGGAGGAAACCGAGGCTCGAGAGCTCCCTTGAGTGATTTGCTCAAGGTCACGTCACAGGTAGGATGGCAGAGCGGGGACTTAAACCTCCAAATTCAGTTTGTCATCTTGAATTTGGACCCTGAGGAGTGGGCTTGGGAGAGGCCGTACTGTGACCGGGCAGGGCCAGTGAGGGGCCTGGCAAAGGGGGTTCTGGGCGGCAAATCTGGTCCGGGGAGGGCGCCACCCCGCGCCCCTCACCTGGCTCCAGCTGAAGACGATAACCAGGAGCGGGGCCAGCGGGCGCCCAAGGCAGCCATTCATGCTCCTGGTACTCATTCCCCTTAATTGCCGCGGCTCCCAATTAACGTGGGTTGCTGTGTCTGGTGCTGGGTTATTTTTTCTTATTTTCTCCTTCCCGTCAGTTTACTATTTCAGAGAGACACTAGCTCTGTCGTTGTGTTTGTCTCGCTCCCTTCCCACCCTCGCCCGGAAACCCAAAAAGCAACAGCTGGTGGCAAATCCCGCGGGCGCCGGCCCGCCCCCTCGGCGGGCTCCTGTTGCTCCGCGCTGCGGGCGCCGCTGGCAAGACGCGCCCCCTCCCGGGGCGCAGGGGAGAGCGGGGAGGGGGGCGCGCGCGGACACCCCCAGGAGCCGGCGGCCCGACACCCCGCGGCCGCCCCCCGCCCCGCCGCGGCCGAGCCCCGCCTCCGGCCCCCAGCGCCCGCCGCGCCTCGCCGGCCCGGCCCAGCCTCCGCGGGAGGGAGGCGGGGGAGCGGCGCGGCCTCGCCCACCGCCCTGCCCCCAGCCCCGCCACTCCCGGGCTGCTCCGGCCGCGGTGCGTCCTCCCGCGGCTGTCTCGGAGGGCCCCGCGCCGTGCAGGTGAGCGTTGGCGGGGGTGGCCCGGTCGGGCGGGGACCGAGGCCGGGGTGGGGACCGGGCGCCGGCGCCGGGGCGCTGCCGGGCTTGTTTGCTCCCGTGGGTGTGAGCGGTCCTCCTGGGCTCCCGCCGGGGCAGCGCAGACGCGGCCGGGCGGTGGAGGACCGCGGGCGTCGGAAGAGGAGAGGCGCCTCCCAGCCGAGGCAGGCCCTGGCGGCGGGGCGGCGGGCGCTTGCTGCTGCCTGGGGCTTGGGGCTAAGGCTTTTGGAGAAGGCGAAGGGCCGCCCCCACCCTGTGTGCAGAGGTTTTTCCCTTTGTTGCTTAGAAGCAGTGGCCACTGGAGTGGAGCGCGGGGATATGAAGATGGGGAGGTGACTGGGTGTGAGCGTGGACACTCACAGGCAATGCAAAATGGAACTTGCTGGTTTGGTGCCTGGGGGGCCCTGGGGATGCTGGGGCAGGCGGATGCGGGCAGTTAAGGAAGGGCTGGGTTTCTTGGGCGTGGGACGAAGGAGAACGTCTGCATCAGTTTTTTTCTGCATCTTGTTTATCCCGACCCGTTTCCTTCCAGGGGCCCCTGGGCCCCCCATCCCCTGCTTTCCTCCTGCCTAGCCCCCTTCCCCCAGCAGGGCCGCCCCTAGCAGAGCCTCCCCATTGTGCTGGGCTTCTGTGGACACCTGGGAGAGCAGCCTGGGGCTGTGGCGCTTGCTTCAGGCTCTCACAAGTGGTGGCTGGTGGAGAAAGCACCCAGGGTGGGAGCAGGGAGCATCTTGGCTGGAGGAATGGACATGGCCAGGCCCCTGCTGCGAGCCTCAGGGTGAGGGTGGAGGGCGCTGTGGCTGCTGAGGCTTCTCCCTAGAATGTGGCCCCTGGCTCCGCTTCCTTTGTTCCTGGGGTGTCCTGCTCTGGCTGGGCCCGGATCAGTGGGTTTGGAGATGAATGGGTGGGCAGCCCATGCCTACTCTGAAAGGACCCCCACCCAGGGCCCAGGGCCCAGGTGGATGTGTGTATCTGTTTTTTGCAACTTAGCCTTTTGCACGTGACCTGCCTGGTAGTTGCCATGGAAACTCCTCTTCAGTTGGCAGCCTCCCTCCTTTTCCTGTCCATTCCTCACCTCCATATCTCTGCCCTGCCCCCCAACATGGTTGCCTAGCTATTGGTTATCCCTGGCTTCTCTGGGTAGGAGACCCTGGATAGCTAGGTCCCACCCCAACCTGAGGTGGCCCCTTACCCACTCCAGTCCCCCCACCCCGACACACACTACGCATCAGAAATGCACCCCAAACACTTTAAACATGTACACATACCACACTGCAGACACACACTACACGTCCCACTCTCCACACACGCCCTAAGCACAGTTCACACACACATCATACCACACACACCACACTACCCACCACAGTATACACACACCCTACCATCACACTCACACGCGCCAATGCTCACGCCTACCAACGCCTCCCCCAGCATATACACACAGCACTCCTAAATAGGTTTCATACTGGAAGAGGGCAGTTTCCTGGGGGGAGGAGCGCGCAGGGGAGGCTCAGGAGGGCCAGAGGAAGCATCTCCCCAGGAGCCCTACCCAGGAAGGTAGAGAAATCCACTCCAGGTGCCCTCAAACAGGAGCCCCTCTCCTGGTGCTAGACCCGAGAGGCTGGGCATGGACTGTTGGAATCTCTCCACTGCTGCTTTCTCCCAGCTGCGCCCCTGAGAAAGCCTGGGGCTCCTGACCCCCGCAGGAGTCTCACATCTGCCCCTGCGTCTGCCTGCCTACCAGGGGATCAGGCAGTTAAGGGAACAGCAGAAGGCTCTGAGCCGCCACAAAGGAGGCAGGAAAGGTGTGATGGTGCCAAGAGGCCAAAGCAGCAGGGGAGGGCAGGGAGAGACGGGCAGGGAGGAGGACAAGGGCCAAGGGGGGCGGGCGGGGGCAGGTGGGTGGGTGTCAGCCGGAAAATGGGCAGCAGAAGAGCTCCGGGCCACCCTCTGTCCTCCAGGCACATGTTCCTCCTTCCTCTCTGGCTCTGTAGGAGTGGAAGCGGGTTTGCAAAGGCTCCGGGATTGCCAGGGCTTTGCCAGTCCCTGGGGCTTCTCTGGAGGTCGGGTGGTGCACCTGCAGGAAGAATCTCCTTTCTGGCCTCTGTGTGATGTTCGCACTGACTGAGGATCCATTCCACTCACCCATTCAGTGAATTAAGTACCTACTGGGTGTTTACTGCAGGGGACATGAGGGTGAGGAGGAAGAAACAGCCCTTGGCCTCAGAATCCTAGATTTCTCAGAGCCAAACGGGGCTTTGAGGGAACATCCAATCAGAACGTCATGTGGATGGGGAAACTGAGGCTCGGACCCGGCAGTGGCTGAGACCTTTTGACTCTTCAGCTGCGATCTGTGACCCCACACCCCATGTTCCACATCTCCTGCCTTCTTTTATCTAGTGCCAGCAATCCCCTGGGGACAGGAATGTGGCTTCCACAGTGTGGGTTCCCCAGTGGGCTGGGAGCCCGCTGGCTTATACTTTCTTGGTGTGGCAAGGAGAGCGGGGAGAAGGAGCAGTTAGTTCCTTAGCCCCTAGAAATTCCCCACAGCATGAACCAGCCCACCCAGGGCTCCCATAAATCAGTACATACATCCCCTGGCCCTGGAGCCCTGTTGGGCCGCGTTGGCTGCCGTCCGGATAGGATACTGCTCCAGGCAGCCCCAGAGGAAGCCAAGCAGTCCTGACAGGCATAGCCCCTGGAGGCCGAATGCCTGTAGCACAAAGGCTGTGAGCCGGGAGGCGCAGACCCAGGTTCTGGTCCTGGCTCTGCCCAAGGGCAAGTGCGCTCATTCCACAGATTTCTTTTTGGAAGCAAACTTGGCTTCTGGTGAAAGTCAGACATGGTTTAGACAGATTTCAAGCAACTGGAAGTCTCTGAGGTTTTAGACTTCTAGTTCCACGGTCGTCGGTTGCGGGTTTAGATTCCAAAATTTCTAACATATTTCTTCCTCTAAATTTTTGGAGATTATGCAGTCTCGATAGAGATCCCTTTTCCTTCCAGGTGTCAAATTGTAGTCATCATTTCATAATAGAGGGTTGCAGCTGAGCTGGGCAGGAAAGGGGCCTGGTTATTCAGACAAAGCTTAACCTTTCACCCAGTGGGACAGCGAGTGCCCGAGAAGCAGACCGGGTTTTCTTGTCTCAGCCTGTGGGAGTGGGGCCTCCAGGGCTGCTAGTCTACCCGGTCTGTTCTGCCAGGATGAAAATGGGCTGGGTGGAGTGTTGAAAGAGGTGTCCTGTGGTGAGGACAAGCTCCAGGGCCATCATGCGGTGGGTCTATGAAGTGCCCCTCAACCCCCCAGGGGGAACCTTTAGCAGCAGGAGAGTGTGACGGGAGGTGCTGGTCAGGGTTCTCTGTCCCTGATGAGGAGTTCGAGACTAAAGCTTAGAAGCAATGCGGCAGCATCTTCCCTGCTGTGGAATGTGAGGGAGGAGGGGAGACCCTGACCTGGGGAAGGGTGAGGTCAGCTTGGGGCCCACAGAGGAGCACATTTGTTACAAGGGTGTACGGGGGAGCACGAGGCCCCAGAGGGGGCTGGAGCCCTGTGGACCAGGCTGGAGCCATGGGAACAGGGCTGCTCCAGCTCGGAGCATCTGATTTGGTTCCAAGACGGCCCGGGATGAGGGAGGGTCTGTTGGGAATGCAGGCAGCCCCCACCCAGGTGGAGGGCAAATCCAGGCCTTGGAAGAGACCACAGGCCAAGGTCTTCCATTCATTCACACATCCTTTTAACAAATGTCAATGGAGTCCCTCCAGCCTGCCAGGCCCAGAGCTGTGAAGTGATTTCTCATGCACCGTGGCCTTCCTGCTCAGGTAGATTGGTGACTTTGCCCTGTCCCTTCCTCTCTCCCCCTGCTTCCCTTCCCCCACCTCTCCCCATGAGGGTTCTGCAGCCTTCTTCAACAGGAAGCCCCCCCACACTGCCATGCGCGTGCACCTGGGCACACACTTTTCCTTTCTCACACATATATAATCTTCCATGCCTAACACACAGGCACATGCTCGCAGGTCCCCACACACCCTCTCACCTCCCCAGGCAGCGGCTGTCTGTCACCCAGCCCAGTGGGGTGGCCTCCACTTCACTCTCTCGGCCCCCAACCACTTGGCCACTGATCACGTGGATCAGGTCCAGTTACAGCGAACCTTCCGTGGCTCTCACTGCCTGTGAACAGGGACGAGTGGCTGACGCTGGCCGTGCAGGCTCTTTGAGATTCAGCTGCAGCCACCCTCCCTGCACCTTCTCCGGATGCGCATCCCGAGCCCTGTAGTTCCCGGCCTTCTGCCTCTGCTCACTCGGGCTCTATGCGGAATGAGCTTTCACTCCGGCCCTCTGGGTAGCTGGTGGGGGCCTTTGCAGATCCACAGACTTGGGCTTGAGTCTAAACTCTGACACTTCTAATTTTCATAACTTTCCCAAGTCTCAGTTTCCTTGTCCGTCAAATAAGCATGATGATTGAGGGGGTAAGCTGGCACACAGTAGGCACTGGGAGATAGTAGCTGCTCCAACAATAACACAACATATTATTATTATTATTATTATTATTATTATTATGGCATTATTACTGTTGTTACATCAGCCTTCAAGGCTCCTCTCAAGTGCTCATTCTTCCAAGTAGGTTTTCCTACCTCCCAGTAAACAGGCATGCTTGCCTCCTCCCAAGCCCTAAATGCTCTTTGAGGCCCCGGCCCACGGTGCCTGCTCTTCAGCTACTCACAGGTAAGTCTTTTCCCCTCCACTCCCACTTACCTCTTTGAAGGCGAGGTCTGTTGTCCCCCAGACAGTGCCTGGCAGAGTCAGACGCATGGAGAAAGTCCAATGAGCATGTGTGGACCAAACGCATTGGGGGTACGTCCTCCCCCGCTGGGAGGTGTTGGAAGCCCTCTTGTCCCTCACAGCTGTCTCCCTGGCTGTCATACCCAGACGCACACCGCACGTCCCTAAAGTGGACCTTCCTGGATGCCCATACCCCTTCTCAGTCTGCCCGGTTCCTTTAGCTCAGTCCAGACACTAAGAACCCAACCCCATCTGAGGTCCAGGGGATGCTTTGGGGCTGGATCAATAGACAGAAGCTGATTCATCGTAGCATTTTGGTGACGGGTTTGACAGAGCCTCGGAGAGGCGAAATGGAGAAGCACCGAGAAAGCTGTCAGATTCCTTACTAATTCCACATGGATCCCCAGGTTCTGAGCTCAGATTGGATTATGACCAAAAGGGCTAATGATGCTGAAGCATTCATTCATTTAGTCATCAACAGTTATTGAACAGCTACTATGCTATGTGCTGGAGATCCAGGGATGCCTAGAATACTAGTGATTACAGTTCACGAAAAGAGGTGTGGGTCTTGGCTCTGTGGGAATTAGGGGAAGGAGGGCATGTGGCAGGGGGGAGGGGACTGTGTGTTTCCTGAAGCAGAGACAAACAAGGTGGGGTTCGCCATACGTGCACAGGCCCCACCTCATCATCCAGAGGTAGGGCAGATTTCCAGGTGTGCAGGCCCACGGTTCAGAGCTCATCCCTATTCCACTCCCACCCTCAAGAAAGATCATTTGAATATATGCAAAGTGCTCTGCAGGTTCAAGCCTGCTGGCCAGAGCCGAGCTTTCAAGGAAGTGGGCTGTGCAGCAAAGAGAAGGGCAGGGGGCCGGCCCAGCTGCCTGGAACTGTGGTTTGGCTGCAGGCAGGGTGGCGTGGGCCTGGCCCCTGGGCCTCTGGCCCTGGCAGCTGGTCTGAGTTTCTGTTTCCGCCACTGGACAGCTTGTCTGGCCTCTTTTGAATGGGCCTTTGTCAGCAGGCATGAGGAGGAGTGACCCCCATCGCTGGCCTGACTCGCTCACGTACACCCTGCCTGCTGGGCCCTGGCCTGGGGCTTCTGTGCAACACTGCCCACCACCCAGGCTCCCTGGAGGTGTACTGAGGTCCCTTCAGGGGCAGAGGCCCAGGTGCTGCTCCTGACTCACTCTGGGTAACCCCTGTCATCTGCCTGGGCTGGAGTGGGCCACACAGTTCCGCAAGGGTGCCTGCCTCCCAGGGCTGTAGGAGAGGCCTGTGAGGAAATGGCTGGGGTGCTGCTGTGACCACAGATGGAAGCAAGGCATTGGGTGCCCGTGGTGGGCCAGCTTGGGGCCTTTCCACGGAAACGTCTGGAACCAGGCCCGTGTCTGTGATCTGTGAGTTCTGGTGTCTCCCTATTTCTTTTCACGGTCAGACCTTTTCTTCCTCTGACCAGGTTTTCGTCCCCAGAAGGAACTCCATGTTAGAGATGAAGGTGCTTCTGGGTTAAAGTAAGTCCTGTGCTACATAATAAAGGAGTTTTGTCCCCCCGCCACTTCCCCTGTGGAACTAGGCTGGGTTGGGTCTGGGCTCTAGAGAAACAGCTTGTGTCCTGGGGACCTGCGGGGCAGGCCTCTAGCCTCCCGACTCCAGGGGTGCCCTCCTCCCCGAGTGAAGGATGGAGGGGCAGACCAGAGGGAGGGCTTCTCAGGGAGACCCAGCCAGGCCTGAGGGCCAGTGATGAGAGGGACCCAGTGGGAAGGGGCTCCCCTGGGAGGTGTCACCAGTGACGATCTGGGCCAGAGGTGCCCTGCCCTGCCTGTAGGCCGTCAGCACCTTGGGGCAGTGCAGGGAATTCAGTGAATTGTCCTCAGCCACTGGGAGTCTGCAGGCCTGCTAGAATGTCACGGCCCTCTGCTCCCCCCTCAGTCCCTGGCTTTGAGGCCTCTCTGCTCATTCGACCGTCTCTGGAACTTTCTAAGGGGGTCAATCATTTCAAGTTAGGCTATTAAACAGGATAACCGATGTTTAATGTTTATTCGATGGGCATTTAAAATGTAAACCGAGGGAGCAGTTTGCGTTTTCCTCTGGAGGCCGCAGGTCTATCAGTGTCCTCTGGTTGGACCCAAAGCACTTGTTTTAAAAGGCAGCTTTGAAAGCCATTGTGGCTTTAGCTCTGTGGTTCTGCACCTAGAAGTCCTGCCCCTGTTACGGAAGCATCAGACACCAGGAGCAGGGCACAGGGCTCCTCCCGGTTTGCTGGGAAGGCTCAGCGGATGTGGGAGTGATGGGATGTTTTGTTTTTAGCCGAATTTAAATTTTTTTACTATTTTTAATAGACTTAATTTTTTTTAGAGCAATTGGGCAGATAGTACTGAGTTCCAACATAATGACCCCTAGGTAGAGTTCCCCCTATTATCTTAGTGTGTTAATTTGTTACAATCGATGAGCCAAGATTGACACATCACTCCTAACTGAAGTGCCTTTATTCGGATAGCCTTAGCTTTGACCTGAAGCCCCTTTTAGTCCCAGGATCCCTCCAGGACACCACAGTACATTTTGTTGTCCCATCTCCGTAGGCTTCTCATGGCTGTGACACTTTCTTATTAGGCTCCTGTCGCTTTTGATGACCTGACAGTTGTTAGGAGGACTGGGCAGGGGCATTGTGGCTGCTCAGCTGGGACTTGCCTGGGGTTTTTCTCATGATTAGACTGGGCTCTTGGGTTTTGGGGAGGAGATCACAGAGGTAGCGTGCTATTTCCTTCACACCACATCCAGGGCATGTACTATCAGCATGATTCATCACTGTTGAGGTTGACAGGACTGGCTTTTCGGTTCCTTTTGGTGTCCCACCTCCAGCACATTTCCAGGGCCTGGTGATTGAAGCCATGCTTTCTCCACACCTCAAAAACAGACATATCAATCTGTCAACCAGCACTCACAGCACCCCAACCCGTGCAAGTTCTGGGGTAGCACAGACATTTTCAGCAAGGGGAGCCTTATTAGAGAGCATAACGCAGAATGTGCTCCGAGCCAGATCAGTGCTAATGACAGGCGACAGGCGCTCTCTGAGTCTGGGAAAGAAGTGTACACTTCAGTCCAGGGCTGGAGTAGTAGTTGGACAAGGGCAGCATGTCTCAACCTTGGCTGTACATCAGAATCAGTGGGAAGAGTCCAGAAATTACTGATCCCAGAGTTTAGAATTTAATGGGGCTTAGTTGATTCCCAGGCATTATTATTATTGTTGTTGTTATTGTTATTAGAAAGCTCTCTCTGTGGCTCCTCAGGTGGGGCAGGGTTGAGGACTGGAATAAACAGGAAAGGGAAGGGCATTCCAAGTGGAGGGAACAATACAGAGGCCTGGAGATCCATGCACACATGGCAGGAATCAGGGCTAGACCATCTTAGCTGGAAGTAATGGGAGAAGGTCCTGGAAGGGAGAAAAGGGACAGACCTAGAGGTGTTTATGTGCCAGAATAAAAAGTTTCTATTTAAAACAAACAAATGGGACACTGAAGCACCATGAATGCATTTGAGTGTGGGAGGGAAGTGACCAGAATACACGTTGGGTGGATTAATCATGCGGTGATCAATGTCCAGGACGGACTGAAGGGAGGAGGTTAAAGATGGGTGCAGCTACTACAGCGTTAGGCAAGCTACTGTAACCCCCCAGGGGGGCGATAACGTGGGTTTGAACTAGAGCAAGCATCAGAAGGGAAAGGCCGGCTTGTAGAGCTAGTGCAGGAGTAAGCAGGGCTAGGCCTTTGTCTGTCGGAGACTGGGAGGGAGGGAGCAACCCTGCGAACTCAGACTGTGAGCTCTGCAAAGGGACTGTGGCACGACCCTCAGTGGTGACCATGTTCCTAGACAGCGGTAGGCCATCAGTAAGTGGCAAGGAGAGTGGGGCCATTCTTTCCAAAGTTATGTCTTATTCCAAAATTACTCTCCTTTTCTCCACCTAAATCAGGCAGATCTCAGGGGTTTGGAAAGCAATCCGATTAAATAACTCAGGCTATGATATAAATGTTTGGATTAGAAGTATTTACCTTTGAAAAGAAGCATTTGGTGGTATTCAAACATCTCTCCTGGGGAGAGTGTTGTGGGAATGGATATATTTTTGAGTAGGGGTGGCTTTATTTAAGTTCTGTGCTAATCTAATTCTGAGCCATACCAGAAATAAGGGGGATCGGCAGTATGGCAGCCCACTCTGCAAGGCTGCCACTTCCTGGGCTATTCATTCTCTTGGCGTCCCCTGTGAGCCAAGCTGCAAAGGACGGGGTTGCGTACAACTGGTCTGAGTTGCTGTCCGGCTGCCAGGACAGATGCACGGATGTTCTGCTGGGCGGAGGGCAGTGGGGTGCGTGGCGGCTGCTTGAGGTGGGTGGAGGCTGAGGAGGGAGACGAGACTGCCTGTACCTTCAGCCCCACTGGAAGGGATGGGGCAGGACTGTGGCTAACTAGGGTCCAGCACAGGCTGACAGACATTCCAGGCCTCCTCCCTCCTCCTCAGGGACCCCAGAGTCCCAGTCATACCCTGACATCAGTCATAGTGGGCAGAGCAGAGCTGGGCAAGAAACCGTGAAAGGAAACGGATGATGTAATGCGTGCGGAAGTTAAATAGAGGCTCTTTGTCTTTATCTGGGCTATTCTCACCCTGGTTTTTCTCTGGCCTGCGCCAGGGCACTCCCACCAGATGAGCCCTACTTGGTCTTGAGTTAGGGGCAACGTTTTGATTGCCCAGTATCCCCACACTGCCACGTCTGCCAGGGAGGCAGCAAGAAAGAGGGGAGAGAGCATCGCATTTGGCATCCGCGGGATTAGAAGCCAATGCCAGCTACGTGCCTCCTCGCTGTGGGACCTCGGGCAGCTAATGGAGCCCTGAGCCTCACCTTTTCTAGCCTGTACGATGGTACTGATTTCCAATCACAGGTCATTCTCATGATCCTTTGAGCTACTGCTTGCGAAGCTGTCTGCTAAGTACAGTGTCTAATAAATGCTTGGTGTTATCAACATCGCCGCCACCACCGTTGTCACGCCCTTCAGCTGCCGTGTGGGGGGGCACAGGACATGCAAAATGCAGTTGCTCCCCCTTTCTCTTAGGACAGCCTCAGGTACACTCAAGGGTCCACAACTGGAGGACAAGAGTCAGTGTCCTGGTGTATTTTGCCCCAACTTCCTCAAAACCAGAGGCAGGAGGACAAGGGCCACCTTGGGCACAGCACTCTGGTTTGCAGACATCTTCTCGGCCCGTGTATGAAGCTCAGCGCCCGGCCCTCCTGAGACCCACCAGAGGGGCCCCTTGTCAGAGATGCTGGCTTCTCCTGGAAGGACCTTGGTTGAGGAAGAAGACTGGCACGCTGGCCAAGGGGAGGGGTAGCTGAGGCCCACTAGGGGTAGGCCTTGGGCTCCTGGAGCCTGGGCAGCAGAGCATGAGCTGTGTCTTCCCCTGGGCAGCTGCCCTGCCGCCAGGGGGGGGCACTTGAGTCATCCCCACCCCCCACCCCCCGAAACAGCAGCTTCCTGCTGGTGGTCCTCCCCACTCCACCCTGGGCACTTCCCTTCCTCTGCTATTCGGCGCACCCGTGCTGTGAGGGCATCAGGGTGCTGTGCAGGAGCCGAGGCTGCTGACCTGTAAGCCCAGCCAGGGCCCCCCACGGAGGCTTGTTTCATGTTTCTCCACAGCAGGTGTTCTTTTCTCAGCAGTCTCCCCTGGTCTGTGCTTTGCCACCTGTGGGCCCCCCTCTCCACTTCTCTCCTCATTTCCAGCCAGGAGCTCCGGCCCCCGCCAGCCTCTGTTCTGCCCCCGGCCTCTCCCTCCTGCCTCTGCTGCGTCCTGCGCTTCTCTTTGGGTACCTCCCCTATTCAGTTTCTCTTCCTCTGGGATTTCTCACCCCTTCTGCTACCTCACGTCCTCTCTTATCTCGCTTCTGTGTCTCTGGGTGCGGATCCCCTCAGTCTGGCTGGGAGGAAGTGTCCCCAGTCCCCAGCTGCCCTGGTCAGCCCCGCTTTCCCACGCCGCTGTCCGCCACCCTGCCTGAAGCAGGCTGTTCTTCTTGAGGCGGGAGAGGCTGGGGATGTGGGAGTCTTTGAGTCGCGGTGCCCCCTCCGCCCTGTCCTTCGAGTCCAAGGAGCCCACGGGGTTGGAGGGACACCGGAGGCCCCCAGAGGCTGGAGGGCAGCTGAAGGAGGCAGGAAGGGAAGTGGGAGGGTGGTGGGCAGGGCCTTTCCCTGGCTCCTGTCTCACTTTCTGTTCCTCATTTCCCAGGAGAGGTAGAACATGAAGGAGGAAGCTGAGGAGAGAGCTGGGGAGTGACAATAGTAACAGTGTTCATAGTTGAGGCTTAAAGAGCAGTTACCATTTGCCAAGCGAAGTGCTCATCCCAACATGTCTCTTTCCATTGTAAATGACAGAAACCAAATTCCGTCCCATTTAAGCAAGGCAGGGATCGTAGCCGCAGAGCCAGCCTGCAGGCCGGGCCCCGAGTCGTGGTGGCCTCTCTGCCTGTTGGCTGCTGACTGGCCTCCCTGCAGGCCCCCCTACCCCCACATTTCACAGCCTGGCTTTGCCCCTTCCTCCCTTGGTTCCACGAGGTGACAGCTCTGGGGGACAGTGAAGTCCAAGCCCGTTCCTTTTAGCTGCGGTTGGCGGCCCCCAGGAGATGGGCAGGGGTTGGGGGGGCAAACGGAGCTGCCCGTGCGCCGCAGCCCTCTCCTCTCATCCTCACAGCCTCTGAGCTGCGTGGCATCACCCCCACCCTGCAGTTTCAGAAGCAAAGGCCGTGAGAGGCAGAGTCACCCATTCAAGGCCACGGAGTCACTGCGGGGCAGAGAGGCTGGGCCGGGGAGCGGTTCCCCTCAGGGACCCTGGAGCCGGACTGAGTTTAGTCCCAGGCTCTGCTGCTTTCCAGCTCTGGGACCCGAGGCGAGTCACTTACCCTTCCTGGCTTCAGTTCTCTTGGGAACGATCGTAGTCACGGGCACTACCTTGAACTACTGGAACGATTGAATGAGTTAGTGTGTAAACCACTTAGAACGGCACTTGGCTTGACACAAATGCGGCCTAATCAGCAGCACAATTCTATAATTCGTTTAAAAATATCACCCTCCCAAGTCAGCCGCTCTCTCCAAGGAGAGAATAAAAGTTCTCCCCTGGGGCTGAGCTGGCAGGCGTTGCCCATTCTGCTCTCTCTTTCTCTTGCGAATATATGCGACGCTGGAGATGTTGGCTAGCTTTGGGGGTCAGTGTGCCCACAGAGGCTGGAGCCCCCTTGGCTGTGGGCCTCTGTGCTGAGCTCCACTCCCTCGGCAGCCTCAGCTCGTGGCACTTGGAGAGGAGCAGGAAATGGTGGCGGCTGCCTGGGGAGGTGGGCCCTCCGGGGCCCCACCGTGCAGGCAGCAGTCATGGCCCTATGCCACCGAGATTGTGTGACCCTCCCCTGGGGTGTGCGGTGGGGCTGGGCCTGGGGGCTCACAGCAGGAAGCTTAGCCTTCCTCCCCCAGCAGGGAGGTGGGGTGGGCTGGGATGAAGTCTACAATCAGCTCTCACTCACGGGGGAACCTCTCTTTCTCTGCCTTGGTTTCTTTGCCTTTAAAACGGGTTTGATCGAAGCACATACTTCATAGGCTATTATTAAGGATGAAATGAGAATAAGTATTTAAAGTAGTATGGATGGGGTCTGACCTGTGTTGTTTGTTATGATCCTTATCATCTCTCACACCCAATCCAGGCCCCTAGACTGGGCCTCCCACGTGGGCTTCTTACTGTCTCATTTTCAGTTCCTCTCATTTCCTTCTGTGGAATCCGTAGACGGACTCCCACGCTGCAGGCGGACCTCTGTTCCCGCCCCCAAACTCCCAGCACCCTGCTTCTTCCTGCTTCCAAGCTCACTGTTCCCTGCTACCTAGAAAACTCGCCTGTCTTCCCTCCACCTTCCCTTCCTCGTTCTGGCCCAGGCTGATGCCCCGGGAAGAGCGTGTGTGGGCGGGGCCCGGGCTCTGCAGCTGCGGGGAGCACCAGCCCTGGACGTCGCCCCTCTGGAGGTTGGGTTCTGCAGCCTTGGCCCCAGAACCCCGTGCCACGTGGTGGGGCTGGGCGACAGCACGCTGGCCTGGGTGGGGCAGCATTGCAGAGGCCGCGAGAGTCAGGGAAGCTGAGCCCCTGTCCTGTAGCTCTCCTCAGGGAAAAGGAGTTTTGAGCAGCTTCCCAGGAGGGGCCAGAGATGCAGAAGATTCCACCCTGTAACTTACAAGAACAGATGATGAAATGTGGTCATGGTTCTGGCCCTTGTGGGTCGGAGTGTTTAGGGTACACAGTTGGAGGTTTGAGGTCGCAGTGTCGTGCTCACCTGTGTCCAGGCTGCTGGTCACATTGGACATGAGTTGATGGGCAGACACACCCCATCCTAAAAGCAGCTCTGATACAGAGAAGGATCTAAAAGGACCAGCCAGGAAGGACCCCAGAAAAGCCCCTCTGGGGCTCTTTGAGACACGGAGCTGCCATGTAGATGGTGACTGTACTTTTGTTCTTTGCTTCCTTTACTCTGGTACGTAAAACCCCAAGAGAATTTTAAGCCAAAAGCATTTAGCGTGGGAAGTAGAAAGGTGATGAGCAGTTCAGACAGGAAGCAGGCAGCTGTATGTGAGTGGAGGCGGTGGTCTGTTTGAGTGCCAGGATGCCTGGTTGCCCCAGCATGGATGGGGGAACAGGGAGACATTGGAGGTGGGGTGGGGGGGAAGGCTAGGAAAGATCGAGGAGCACATTCCAGCCTTCCCAGCGATGAGGCATTATGATGCCTAGATTCTCATGAAAGTATAACACATGCCAAGCTCAAGCCCTGGGTTTGGGCCCTGGCCCCTGGTTTGTGCTGACCACGTGCCCAGGGCCTATTCACTGGCGTGTGTCATCAAGGCCTGATGGTCATCATTCATATGTGCATCGAATCTGAGGCTCGGCAGGCCTTAAGCCTGCTGGTGCTAGTCCCCAGACTCCAAAACTATCTTGACACAGATAGACCAGACTACCCTCCCCCTATTTTCCTCCCAAACAATAAGACTTACTAATGTCTTAGGAATATAAAGACTCCACCTCTGCCAGGAAATGAGAGCAGTTTGTCTGTGATAATTTTTAGTCCTGGGCCGTCTCTGTTTTCTGTCCTTAGCCCACCCTTAGACTGTTCAGATCTATGGTACGGTAATAGCCACCCACCAGACTCGCCATGCTGTGCAGCCAGCAGGGTAATCAGAAAGGATTCTCCAGTCATCTCTGTGCTCCCCTGTTGACTGAGTGAGCAGCTGGGCCCCAAGCCTCTGACATGATTCCATCACTCGCTTCCCAGAAGCCAGTGCTGCCCCTGGCTTTGCCCTGGTCAAAGGTGGTCTTCCAGTGGAAAGCCAAGGAGCCTGCCAGGTGCTTCCCTGCTGCCCCCCCTCATTGCCTGTTCACCCTCGTTGCTGTCCGTTCCTGTCTTCTTCTTCCCTGGCTCTGGCCTAGCCACCCGAGCCTACTCAAGCATTGCCCAGCCTGCCCTGCTGCCCTCATGGCACTCATGTGCTCCAGCCCCGGCCTGCCCACCTCCCAACCCCAGCACGGACAGGAGTAGGGGACGTGGGCTCCAAGCCCAGCTCTGCCCCTGACTAGCTGGATGAATGGGCTGTCACTTCTCTGCTGGTCTTAGTCTCCTCACATAAGATATAAGAGCTTTCATCTCAGCCATTCTCACTCACTCTGGCATTCTGTGATTCTAACTGTATCTGGTAAGCCTCACACCATGGTTACATCCTATTCATGCACAGTGGAGTCTTCTCTTTAACAGGCTTCTTTGTTGTAAAGATCTGGATACATCACAGGCTAAGTCCTGTCTCCTGGCAGGCAGTCGCAGTCCAGGGGACCCTAGATTTGATGGGCTGAGCCTGGAAGGAAAAGTAGGTTAGGGGATGCAAGGGAAAGGGAAGCGAGGCTTTGGGGGGCAAGGGACGGGAATGAGGGTGAGATAATGAAGTTCCACTTAATTTGGAGCCTGTGCATTTGAAAGAGAGGTTTGTTTCTGAGTTATTTTCACAATAGAACTGGTATTCTGATTTACCTCACTGCCGCAGGGAATCAAAAATAATACAGCGTGTTGCTATACCATCAGCTAGCGGCTTCTTTTTCTGAGCAGCTTTTACCCAGCAATTATGTGAAATTATGTGACTCAGTATGGAGCAATAATCGCAGAGAAACTCTTCTGATTGCTTTCCCCTGCACGTGCAGAAAGCAACTGCAAAAGGCAGGAAGATCGGGGAGCAAAATTCACGTGGAAGGACTGCTGGCGTCTGAAATGTCAGCTGTTTACTAATGTAAAGAGAAGAAAAACAAGCGGAACCAAATTCTTTCTTATAAGATGCTGGAGAAGAAGCAGAATATGTACCTGGTGCCATTTTCCAGATGGGAGAGAATGGTTGAAATGACCTAGAGTTCAAGAGGTGGGGAGCAGGAGAGTGAGGAGGTCCAGGGGTCCCCCATTAATAGCGGTGGCTTCTCTGGAGCCCTGTTTCAGGGGCCAGGGCTCAGCACCCTGGGCAGGTGGCCAAGGCCCTGCCTGCATAAGGAGGCTGATGTAATGTCCCTGAACCCCTCTCCCAGCTCTACCCAGCTCTGCCTTGTATTTCCCTCTCCCAAAGATCCCTCCTTTGGGGACGTATTCCATCCACTCCTTAGACCCTGTGGCCCGGAATGGCCCCCACCCCTTGCCAGCCCCAGGCAGCCCAGCCTCTTTCTGGGGGAAAGGAATGTGTGGTAACTGGGAGGGTGTGGGACACAGAGGTGGGGGGTTGTGTGGGAGGAAGTGGAGGCCAAGATAGAGTTTCTTGGTGCGGCTAACTTGAGACAAGGGCGTTTTGTGTCCCCTCAGCGGCTCTGTATGGCTATTTGGCCGCTTGACTCAGGGACACCGCCAGTGGTACCAATGACACTTTAAAATTGGGTGCAGGGGCCAGGAGGCACCCTGAAGAGGCCTGTGCTGAGGGGTGGCCAGTGTCCCTGGCCTGGGCAGCAGCTTAAAGGAGCAGAGTTGGTCACGTTCCAAATCTATAACAGTATTTCTTTCAGCACATGGTAACCTGATCAGAAATGTTTTCTTTAGAAAACAAAGGCAGGTCTTTACTCTTTAGCTGAGCACTCAAGGTCCTCCACAACCCGACTCCAGCTGTCTGCACAGAGCTCTCACCCCCCCGCCCGCTCATGCTTTACTCAACAGGATTAATCACTGTATTAGGTATCTTCCTCTAGCAAAGGCGGCTACACGCAGGCTGCTGTCACAGCCCTGTCCTGTGCTGTGCAGACGTTACTGATGGAGGGAGGCCTCTCTCCTACTGGACATCCTTCAGATTCCTGAGGAAGCCACTTCAGGCAGTGCTATTGAGTGAAGTGCCTTAAGGTTCAACTTGAGCTGAACTTGACCTAGAACTGATATCCCTGCTTCCTCTTTTCCCGTCTCCCTGCCTGTGCTCAGGCTCTCGCCTCTGCCAGAATGCCTGCCTTTCCGTTTTTTCTCTTAACCTTTGTCCCTCCGAATCCCATCCTACTTCCAAGGCTCAGCTGAAACATCACCTCCCCCGTGGAAACACGCCAGGTGCCACGCCAGGCGCCCCGGGGTAGAGCCTGCTTCCCCTTCCCTGGCCCTGATGGCCCTTCTTGTGTGTAGACCCTCCGTTAGGAAGCTCCCTTGGTGTTTGCTGATACAGCAGAGCCCTTTGTGTCCAAACCCTGACCATCTTGGAAGCTGAGGCTGTGTCTTGTCCACCTGTTGATCCCTTGCAGAACCCAGAATGGTGAGGCCCTTTCTAGGAACTCAGTGTGTGTTTGGAGGATTGACTTGAACCTGAGCATCTGTGGAGGTGATCTGGAGGGCGTCGAGGGGAAGGCGCAGCGGCGACAGTGTCCTAGCACCTTTGTCATGGGCCTTCAGTTCTCCCAGGATGGGCCCTGCTTGCCTAGTAACCCCTCTCCTGGCTCGAAGCGGGTCCCAGCCACTCCCCCTGTTGAAGAGAAGGGATTACACAAAGGCTTGAATTCTAGATGGTTAGAGTTCAGTAACCCAAGGGGCTCACCTTGGGGTCTGCTCACCAAAAAGGTGAAATGATAAGTCAGATAAACAAAAACTGAGTTTGTAACTAACAGATCTGCGTTAGAGAAAATTCTGGAAGTATTCTTCAGAAAGAAAATGGCTTGATGGATGACTAAGAGTCAAAAAGAATTGTAAACAAATCAGTAAATACGATGTATTAATAATTATTGCTGCATAACAAATTACCCCCAAACTTAGTAGCTTTAAACAACAGGCATTTTTTATTTCACAGTGGCCAGGGTTGGGAAGGAGGGATTGCTCAGTGGGCAGTTCTGCCTGGAGTCTGTAATGAGGTTGCAGTCAAGCTGTTAGCCAGGGTGGCAATCACACGGAGGCTGGAGGGTCTGCTTCCGAGGTCACGTATATGGTTCGTGGGAGGTCTTACTTCCTAGCAGGCTTTGGAACTGGGGCCCTCAGTTCTGTGCCACCCAGGCCCCTGCACAGGGAGGCCTGACTTTCCCTAAGACATGACAGGTGACTTTCCCCAGAGTAAGCAATCCGAGAGAGAGAGAGAGACAGAAAGACAGAGGGAGGGAGGGAGGGGACAAGAAAAGAAAGCTGTGGTGCCTCGTATAATCTAGAATCTGGAAGTGACACATGAGTGCAGCCATAATTTGTTGATCCCAGAGACTAACCCTGGTGCAGTGTAGAAAGGGGAGTGTACAAGGATGTAAATACCGGGAGGTATTTACCTGAAAGCTGGCTATTACACACATGTGTACAGCTACACAAACATTGTTTTCATTAAATATAACCACTAAAATCTATTTCATAGGATTATAAAAAGAACTGAAATTTTGTACGGTGATAGCTTATATATCAGG